TAATTGAGATGATTCCCGTGTTTTATTGTCACGTTCGCTTACGTTTGTAGAATAATAAGGTGATAACCCTCGATTACAATCTGTGCTCTGTTTCCTCGCTGGAGAAAACGCAGTCGAAACCTTTTACGTTCCGAATAAATTCCTCTGAAATAACCCTCGACTGATGTGAAAGTTAGGGGCAAAGGGCAGGTTTTACTTCCAACAGCAGCCGCACATGGCATGAACGCAACGAGGGTTCTTCAGACGGGTCTCGAAGGGGGCGAGGGAGGGGTCGAGGCGGAGGGGCTGCAGGATGGGGCTCCACGAGGTGGGAGCGGGCAGGTTGGTAGGGGCTTAGGAGGTCACGGAGGTAGGGAGGGGGACCGAGGCCGTGGAGGGCTTTGAAGGTGAGGACCAGGATCTTGAACTGTATCCCCTGAGTGATGGGGAGCCGGTGGAGTTGGGCGAGGGTGGGGGGGGGTGATGGGGGTGAGAGAGGGTCACAACACGGACGTAAGCGTTTCAGTTGTGCGAACGCCCCTTTCCACTGTGAGTTTCGACAGCTCTCAGCCCACGTTGTACGAGCCACGGCCGACACCTCACCCATCACAAGCTGCAACTCGTTCACCGCCCGAAGCCTGCGTGGCACCGACGACTACAGTTGGGACCTTATTATCCGCAACGATTCGACCCAGCGCCTTCTCGCACAGCGATGCCCCCCCCACCACCCCACACACCCACACACACACACACACACACACCGCGCCAAGTCTGACGGCTTTGGCATCGACAAGACACACACGGACTGGGTCCCTGCAAAAGGGCCATCTGGCCAGACATCTGGGAGCTTTCAAGTGCTCAGCGTGTTTGAATCCGTGGGGAGTTCTTCCCCGTTTGGCAGCCCAGCGATCCGGGGAAGAGGGCTCCCCGAGGGGGAATAACTGAAAGTGACGGTCACTTTGGGTGAATCCGAAGGAACTAAAGCCCTCGACTCAAACGTGGCGCGGGCGCTGACCGAGAACTCTGCCAGCGATGTGTTCGCCGGGTTACGGGAAGGATTAAGCTGGCGCGATCGCAACGACAATTCGCGTTGGCGCAGTGCCACTCAGTGGGAGTGGGCGCAGTGGGCGCAGTGGGAGGTGGACAGCAGCGGACTTGACACCGGCACTGCAGACGGCAAAGGACAAGAGGATATAATAATGATGATAATAATAATAATAATCCTGGCATTCGATACAGCGCCTTATCATGTCTTCGAGATGTCTCAAAGCGCTTCACAGTGTAATGCGTAGTGACTGTGTATTGTGTATACATTTTAATTGCATATTACTATTAATTATTAATAATTACTAAATATTAATCATCTATTAATATATTAGGCCGTGCAAAGTGATAGCGCACCGGCTATAGTGTGTTCAAAGCCAATTCCATACTCAGAGGTAGCAATGGTGCCATAAATTGCCCCAAAATTATTTAATTCCATGTGCATCAGAGACCGACTCTAAAATATATATGCATCAAAATATATATGTGGAAGTTCCGGTGTTGTGCTTCGAGTGACAGGAAATCTAACAGATGGTGACCTCCCACAGACAAATTGCCCAATTCAACCATAATTTGTATTATGTTAACCTTGACATAAATAATAAAAATAATAATAATCCTCGCATTTGACACGGCGCCTTATCACGTCTTCGAGGCGTCCCAAAGCGCTTCACAGGATACACTGTAAAGTGTAGTGACTGTGTATTTTGTGGGCCAAACGCGGCAGCCAGTTGCGCACAGCAGCGTCCCCACAAACAGCCGTGGGTTGAACGACCAAATTATTATTATAAGTAAGGAAACTTGCCCAACGTTTCGCCCTGACCTGACCCGCCCGGGAATCGAACCCGGGTCCTCTCACTCGCGAGGCGAGGGCTCTAACCCCTGAGCTCCGGGGAAGTCCACTATGGCTTAAAAATAGTCGTCACCAAAGGAGGTTTGGAGATAGTTTGGGGCGTGGGAGTAATTGTCAGTTGCAGTGGAAATCATGAGCTATTGAAACGCTGGTTAAGCCAACGGTGTTCATTTCTTTAGAAATTCTGTAAAAATGCCAGAATTTGGGCTCGCGGAGACAGCAGAAAGTGCCAATTTTAGCCGTCCGACAGAACTTGGAAGATAATAGTGAGAAGGCAAAATACATTCGGAAACTATTGAAGGCACGTGCGCAAGCATTTATGGGGCGATGATAACCTTATAGCCTACGGAATTCGCTTCACAGTGTGTCCCGTGAGACGCTTCGAGATGTCTCGAAGACGCGATAAGGCGGTGTATCAAATGCGAGGTTTATTATTCTTACTATTTTTATTATTCTTACCGCTTACAACAACCACGGCAAGCGTAGCGGGGAGCCTGCTGTATGACATTTGTGAAGCTCCTTCCATGTTGGGAGGACATCCCAAGGCGCTGAACAGTCGGGGGTCAAGCCATGAGAGTCTGGGGGGTTTAGGGGAGTGGGGGTGGGGGGGGGCAGGGTTGGGGTGAGGGAGGGCAGAGCGGGTGGGAGGGCGGCTGAAGGTGCGGTTGAAAAGGAGGGTCTTGAGTCGTGGCTTGAAGGAGGCGAGAGAGGGAGAGAGGCCAAGGGGTTGTGGGATGGAGTTCCAGAGGGTGGGGGCAGAGAGGCTGACAGTGGGTGGGGGTGGGGGTCGGGCGGGAGACCTGGAGCAGGCCGGGGCCTGCTGAGCGGAGGAAGCGGACAGGTTGATGGGGGTCTGCAGGTCAGAGAGGTGGGAGGGGACGAGGCCGTGGAGGACCTTGAAGGGGAGGGCGAGGATTTTGAGCTCTATCCTCTGGGGGACGGGGAGCCAGTGGAGCCGGGCCGGCGAGGGAGGGGGCGATGGGGGTCAGGGAGTCTGGTGCGG